TAATTTTTATTTCCTTTAATTTTTAGTCATGTAACTAATACTTATTAAACTTATTTTAGCATGATTTAATACTTTTAAATTATGATCATTTTCATTATGACTTGTTAATTTGCAATATCTGTTTTACGCGATTTCATTATTATTAATATTTTTTGTTGGATATTTTAGTATCAATACTCATATAATATTGTGTGTTATTTTCTTAAGAAACACCTTAGATAGTTATATTTTGGTAGGACTAAAGAAATATTTGAAGTATAAGTAAATTATATGTTTGTATGAATACTTTTCCAGAAAAACCCGAAATTGAAAACCCAAGTTTTATTGGTTTGGTTTGGTTTATAGATTTAACAATCCGACACAAATGGTTTGGTTTGATATTTGAAAAACCCGAACTAACCCGGCCATGTACACCCCTAATCTAGGTATAATACTTGAGGGTGAAGCGGTTTTTTTATAAAGGCAAATTCATATTTAGAATTTGATTTTGAGACGTATAGAGTATTTATCACTTTATCGAAATGCTAGATGTTACTACGAGTTAAGATAGGTGTATTATAATTATATATGTTGCTCAACAATGTTAATTAGGATGACACATTAAGTGGAGCAGACTCCTCTGTTGACATATCAACCAAAGAGAACATGGACAAATTGGTTGAAATTGGGACAAATTTATTGAAGAAATCAGTTCCAAGGGTAAATTTGAAGGCAGGTCTATTTGAACAATTAGGCACAACTGGTGGCACAAATGAAGAAGCTTTGAAAGAGTAATATTATTCAACTCTCTTGTGAATATTATTAATCAATGTATATTTTTTATTGATTATTGAATTGAACATATTGTTTTTGTCAGGTTTACAAAGTTGCTTTCCGAAGAAAAAAAATTCAGGAATCTCAAAGTACCTACTACAAATAAATTGTAGAGGCGAAATCATGATTTGGTATAAATGAATCCTAGATTTTATGAATTTGAAATAGTATTTGTAATTCAATTTATGTATTCTAGCTTTTGATTGTTGGACCGATGTAATAATATTCAATAGTGTGTTATGCAAAAAATTTGTTACTTGCTTGATTATTTTGTAAGGGCAAAAAGCATCAACTTTATACATCTTAAGTAACTAGTGATCATTTCTTACTTATAAATTTCAAAAATATAATGTTTCAAGAAAATATTCATTATTTGTTCTAATAAATTGCGTGAATAAATATATTCAACAAAAATGTTTGTAAACTAGAGGAAATGGCCCGTGACACGGGCCCAATATTATAAATAAGGGAAGATTGTATAAAATAACAAATTATTAATTCAAATTAAACGCTATAACCAAAGTTTCATTTAATTATAATCCATAACAAACACAAGCCATTCGCCTCTCTCCCTATAAATCTCGCTCGCCACTCTCTCTGATCTCGCTCGCCACTCTCCCTCGCCTCTCTCACCACTCTCCCCCGCCTCTCTCACTTTATACAAACACAAATGTATAAATTGCGTTTGTGTTTGTATAAAGTGAGAGAAAACTGTATATACAAATACAATACATATATTTTTCGTCTTATACACTTATAATTATACAAATACAGATCTTACCCTGCCAGTTCTCTGTTGTCTTTCTCTCTTTCTCGCTTTATACAAACACAAATTACAATGTATAACTTGTGTTGTATAAAGCGAGAGAGAGAGAGATTTGATATACAAATGTTTTATTTCGATTCAATTGAATATAAATTCAATTTTTTATGCAGATATACAAACATAAAGAACATATACATATACAAACACAATTTTAATAGACATAGACGTCCGATTTTTGTAACCTCATATATGACATACAATCACAAATTTCAAGAGTTCTGGGATCCTACTAGCTCAGCTGGTTGGCTACCTGAATTTTCACCTCGTTGATGAGACTTAGATTCCCGAGTTTAATTATTAATATAGGAATTGGATGGTGAGGATGCAAGGCTTGCAGATTACTTTGATATAATAGCAGGAACAAGTACTGGTGGCCTTGTTACAGCCATGTTAGCAGCTCCAAACAAAGACAAACGTCCTATGTTTGCTGCTAAAGACATAAAGCCATTTTATATTGAGCATGGTCCTAAGATATTTCCACAAAAAGGGTAAATAATATTAAATTCTTGTTTAAGTACTAATTATAAATTATCTTAATTAGACTGATAATTACTTTAATTAAACAATTTCACAGGATGTTATTTTTTGGATCAATAGTGAAGACATTGAAGTCTTTAATTGGACCAAAGTATAATGGGAAGTATCTTCATCAAGTCATAAAGGAGAAATTAGGGGAGACTTATTTACATGAGACTTTGACTAATGTGGTTATTCCAACTTTTGATATCAAGTATCTACAACCAACAATTTTCTCCACTTTTGAGGGTTTTTTTTTAAAGTTTATGTGAGTTAATAATATTTTTGCCTAATTCTTCAAAAGCACCAATTTAATTTCCCTTCTTACATGACAATAATAATGACCAAGAAATGAATTTTAGTAATAATAATTGTGGTTTGTTATCAAGGTATATATATGCTTTAATTTAAGGAGTCAGTTTGATGAGAGGTATAAGGTATAATAATCTCGGGATAAAATGTAAGAGTGTTTTATCATATGCTTAGTTGGAGGTATTAGATCGATAGTCCTTAGATTATTTATCCAAACATTTATATCATATAATGGATAAGTTATCTCATTTACGGACGGAATAACCTTACTGCAAGCTAGATAACTTATTTGAGGATGATTAATCCTAGAATATATAACTTGCTCCCAATTACGATACTTCATACAAATTTATCATTTTTTACTAAACCATCAATTGACGAGTTATTTTGGGCATAGTAAATTACATATCCAAAAAATTGGGACAATATGGCCCAAAAAGAAGATATCAAAACTTAGAAAAAAGTTTGTATTTTTTTTTGTTGGGATTGATTTGTTTTGATATAGTCATGATGGAAAGTAAAAGCTAATACTATATAAGTTTAATTTAATGATCAAATACTTATCGACGAACATAAGTTGGATGATGACGATTCTATATTGTTTATTAATTTGACATATAATTTTAACCTGTTCAAATTCAACAGGTGAGAGAAAAATCATTAATGGATGCTAAGCTTTCAGATATATGCATTAGCACATCTGCTGCTCCAACTTATCTTCCTGCACATTATTTCAAGACTCAAGACAAAGATGACAATTTCCATGAGTTCAATCTTGTTGATGGTGGAGTCGCAGCTAATAATCCAGTACGTACATTACTACAATTTGACCCACTCTCATTTCTCTAAAACTAGTATAATTTGGTCCACTCCGCATCAATCTTTATTAGAAATTAAGATGTATAATTGAACATAAATTAATTTAAATATCTAAATACAATATTCTAATAAATTGAGGAAACTAACTACGTTAAGTCTTAGTTTTTCTAACTTTTTTTTTATTCGTACACATTTACAACCTACTCATATCCAATCCATTAATTGTATACGATGAGGGTAAATTAATACTTAGGATGTATGGGTCTATGTGGAGGTGAGAGTTGTTTGGTGCTTATGTGGCATCGACGTGGCGTCCATGTGGCGTTCACGTGGCGTCCACATGGCACTTAACACATCTCTGTTAATAGTAAGGGTATTTGTGACCCAATACTTTAACGGAAGGGTATTTTTGAGCCAGAATATAATTTAAGGGTATATGTGAGCTATTTCCGATAGTTCAGGGGTATTTTTGAGCCTTTTCCGTAAAAGAAAAACGTGGGACAATATATAGTGGGCTAGTGGCCATCAGCATGTCCCCCTCCAAAACAAAATAAGGACCTATCCATACAGCTTGCACCATATAAAACAAAATACTAAACCTCTCAAATCACCACTTACGCTTATTATAAATAATATAATAATCATGTTTTAAGCAATCTAGTAACACTATTAATGTATGAAAGTTGGCAAACTCTTTGATGATTACATCAATTTTTAGCCAGAAATTTCAGATTCAAGTCCTAATGCTCATGGGTATAAAAAAAATTCTAAATTCGAAATAATTAAAATTAAAAATATTATGGTTGTTAAATAGCTAGCTAGTTCCATTTGTCCAATAAAAAAATATCCTAGAATTGAGAAAATTAAAAGGATATTCAACTAATAGTAATATGGAGAAATATAATTGATGAAGTCTCAAACTTGTGGACCACGCCAAAGGATGTGTTGTAGTGGAGGAGACTGCTCCTCTCTTAATTAGAGATCTCGAGTTCAGGTCCTTGATATAAAAAAAATTTTGATAGGCTAGCGCTACCCTTCGAAAAAAGGCCCTATCCAATACAAATCCAAATTAATTAGACTTCAATACAGATATTGTCAGATCGGGTGAGAAAAAAGGTCTCAATTTGTGGTCAAGTTGGTGCCTGATCCTTTTCTTACAGGTCATAAATATTTTCCTAGTCACATTCCATTGACTTTTCAAAACAAAATAAAATAATAAAATATTGATCTCCAAAAAAATATCTTGGATTGCTCTTAACATTATTGAGGTCTATAAATTGATAATTTAACCTTGCTGAAAATCAATTAATTATTTTCTTATACTCAAAAAAATGTCATCATCTGGTTCATTAGAATTGCAACCTCCAATTAATGGTAAATTCATCACAATTCTCAGCATCGATGGAGGTGGCATTAGAGGATTAATTCCAGCAACTATTCTTGAATATCTTGAATCTCAACTCCAGGTAATCGCATAAACTTCTCTATCCTCATTCAAATTTTAACTTATTCAACTGAACTCAATATTTCATTCTCTACGTTTTAATTTCTATAGGAATTAGACGGTGAGGATGCTAGGCTCGCAGATTACTTCGATATAATTACAGGAACAAGCACGGGTGGCCTTGTTACCGCTATGCTAACAGCTCCAAACAAAGACAATCGTCCTCTATTTGCTGCTAAGGATATAAAGCCCTTCTATCTTGAACATGGTCCTAAGATATTCCCACAAAATAATATGTAAATTTTCTAATTGAATTATTTTTTCTTCTTGTGAAAAATAATTAAGCACTATTAATATTATTGTTTTTTTTTCATTTTATATAGGATACTGATTGGATCAATAATAAAGGGATGGACATTTCTAACAGGACCAAAGTATAATGGGAAGTATCTTCATCAAGTCATAAAAGAGAAATTAGGGGAGACTAAATTGCATGAAACTTTGACTAATGTTGTTATTCCAACTTTTGATATCAAGAATATACAACCTACAATTTTCTCTACTTTTGAGGTCCCTTTCTCCACTAATTTTCCTTAATTTTTAATTAGAGGTCTCAAATTAGTTTGACCCGTTTAATCTGTTTAACAGGCGAAAAAACATTCAATAATGAATGCTAAGCTTTCCGATATATGCATCGGCACATCTGCTGCTCCAACATATCTTCCAGCACATAATTTTCAGACCCAAAACGAAGATGGCAAATTTCATGAGTTCAATCTTATTGATGGTGCTATCGCAGCTAACAATCCGGTATTAAATAATTTAATCTATTTTATGTCACATTAAAATAACTGAACTTTACTTACTATGTATATATAATGATGAACTCACTAAACTTTACCAATTGAATACTATGTTTTGTATTAAATTAAACGTCATATAAAGTTACTAAATCTTACGCACTATAATGACAGCATCTATTCATCAAGATGACTTTACTGTTATAGTAAGTAAAGTTTGTGAAATTAACTCGAAATTTATATGATGTGGTTGGCTTTTGCAGACCTTTATTGCTATAAGTGAAGTGACCAAACAAATATGCGAACAAAACCCATATTTCAAAAATTTCGACGAAATGACGCCCACTAATTATGGGAAATTTTTGGTTATCTCCATTGGGACTGGATCAGCAAAATTGGAACATAAATATGATGCTAAAATTGCATCAAATTGGGGTATTTTTGGATGGCTAACTGGTGGAGGCTCAAATCCAATTATTGATGCATTTGCTGATGCGAGTGATGATATGGTTGATTATCATATTTCTGTTGTTTTTCAATCTATCTCTTCTCAAAAACAATATCTTCGGATTCAGGTACTATATATTCCACTCCTAAATATTCTTTCAATTTTAAAAATATAACAAACTTTCCCTTTTTAGTTTATTTTTAAAAAAAAGATCCTTTCAATTTTTTTAGCAACACTTTAATTTCAGTTTTCTAGGCGACATGTTTAATGCCACAAGATTAAAGAGTATTTTGGTACATTTGACATAACTTTAATTTAGGACCACAAGATTGAAACGTTTCTTTATTTTCTTAAATTTTGTGTCAAGTCAAACTAAATCATTCTTTTTGAAACGGAGAGAGTATCAAATGTGCTTGATCAGAAACAATAAGGACCAAAATCAAAATTTGTTAATATTTGAGGGATTAAAAGTGCTAATTTCCTAATTGAAATTGTTTCTAAATATTTGAAGTTATTGAAAAAGAAACATTTTAAACGAAGCCTTGTTATTTCGATTACTCGAGTATTCGTCAAATGAGAAATTCAAGAAGAGATAAATGATAGCTTAGAAATATGCTCTTATGATCTAGGTATAATACTTGAGGGTGAAGCGGTTTTTTTATAAAGGCAAATTCATATTCAGAATTTGATTTTGAGACGTATAGAGTATCTATCACTTTATTGAAATGCTAGATATTACTACGAGTTAAGATAGGTGTATTCTTATAATTATATATGTTGCTCAACAATGTTAATTAGGATGACACATTAAGTGGAGCAGACTCCTCTGTTGACATATCAACCAAAGAGAACATGGACAAATTGGTTGAAATTGGGACAAATTTATTGAAGAAACCAGTTTCAAGGGTAAATTTGAAGACAGGTCTATTTGAACAATTAGACACAGGTGGCACAAATGAAGAAGCTTTGAAAAGGTAATATTATTTAACTCTCCTTTGAATATTATTAATCTATATATTATGCTATATTAATTATTGAATTGCCTTATTATTTTTCAGGTTTGCAAAGTTGCTTTCTGAAGAAAAAAGAATTAGGAATTCCAAACCACCTCCTAAAGATAAATCGTAGAGGCAAAATTGTGATTTGGTATTATATGAATCCTAGATTTTATAATTTTGAAATAGTATTTGCAATTCAATTTTTGTATTCTAGCTTTTGATTGTTGGACCAATGTAATAATATTCAATAGAGTGTTATGAAAAAATATTTAATAATAGATGAAAATATGTAAAATTATTGTTACATGCTTGGTTATTTTGTAAGGGCAAAAAGGATCAAAGTTTCTTGGCTTTTTTATGGAGTACCATCCAAGCTAGAGCCAAATTTAATAAAGAGGCTTTTTACTTTTTTTTTTTTTTTTCCACCCGGTGTTTGGAGCCCACATTGGAGCTCCGACTAAATTCGGACCGCGCACTGCAGAGCCTATTCGGGGGTGACGCTCCCAAACAGGATTTTCTCCATACCCAAGGCTCAAACCTGAAACCTTAGATTAAGGGTGAAGCACTCCCACCAATGCACCACAACCAATGATGGTGGTTTTTACTTATTTAAGAAGAAATTATACTAACTTGATTTATGTTGTCAGAATTATTGCTTATATATATATATATATATAAGAAATTTCTAAATAATAAAATTTTATAATAAATAAAAATAATAATAACTGACATCTCTAAAGTATAAGAAAGTTATTACTAATAGATTATATCTCTTAAGTAATTAGTGATCATTTCTTCTTTACAAATTTCAAAAAATAATGTTTCGAAAAAATATTCATTATTTGTTCTACTCCCTTCGTCTCATTTTATGTGGCACTTTTTAGATTTCGATATTCAAATAAGTTTATCTTTGACGTAAGTTTTTCATAGATCTTTTAAACATTTTGAATTATCAATTATTGTGACTTATAGTACTTTTTACGTAGTTTACAAATATATAAATTTCATTTCAAAAAAATTGAAGATTCCGTACGCTAATTCCGGATCAAACTTAAACTGTTTGACTTTTGAAAAATAAAAAATATCACATAAATTAGGACAAAGGGAGTAATAAATTGCATGAATAAATATATTCAACAAAAATGTTTATCTACTCTATTAAATTTCACAAAAATAAATACTTAAAAACTTCTTATCTATAACTTCAATGTACTTTTTGAAAATTATATTTTAGTACAACTAGTTAAGAATATACCTATAAAGGGCATAAATGTAGAATTTCTATAAAACAATGGTATAATTATCCGATTTTAAAATATAAGGATGTATTCTTTTTTTTT